AAGACTGTTTTTTCAAAGTGAACGTACATTGGATGCACTTTTCTCCGTTTAATCTTGTCCTCCACTTTTTGCACCTACCTTCGATGAGCTAAAGGTGTTCTTGATAAACTTAATGATACAATCGATAAAATGAATCACGATTTATGTACTAATAGATTGGAGTAATAAACACGCGTTAAAAATCAATTCCAAAAATGTAAATCAATAATAATTGTATTAATGGAAAAATTAAATGTACAAAACATCCGAAAGATAAAAATTGAGAACGTTGAATTGGATTATAAAGAAACTTTAAAAAGCATAGGTCTTTATTTGAATAAAAATTTTAACTTGAACGAAATGTAACTAAGAAAATATACTCTACAATTTAAAGGTTAATACAACTGGTAGGTTATGCGAATGTTCCTATCAAAAAACGTTTAGTACCAGCTCTAGTATTCCCGTATATTAAATATGGAATAGCTGCAATGTGTGACTTACATTGTATGCAAATCAAAGAATTACAAGTGTAAATATGTGTGTAAGATATAGACTTAACTTAAAATATGATGATAGAAGTTACGACAAGTTTCGCAACTCCAGTTTTTAAAAATTAATGATTTAATTGATTATAATTGTGTGCATGTATCATATTCAACGTGGTAAAAATGAAAAACGTACATATATATATTAAAANAACGATCTCTCTCTCTCTTTCTCTCTCTCTCTCTCTCTCTCTCTCTCTCTCTCTAACGATATATCTCTCGTCTTACCTTCTCAATAAGGAAGTGCTACTATTTATTCGTCATAAGAGGTACGGTGTTACCAGTAATAAAAATAATTACCTAAAAAAATGTTGTGTCCTTTGGTTTTAATATAAACCCTTCCGAAAGTTACAAAGTCATTCCTTATCTACAAACTAATATTTAGTTTGTGCAAAGATCGCGTAGTTGGTTGGTATTTAATTTTTAATATGAGACTCCCTTTTGACGTTCAGCGAAGCGAAGGTGTATGATGTAACTTCCGCGGGCTCGGGCTCAGGATGGAGTGTGCACCTTTCATAGCCAGCCCGCCTTCCCCCGGGATCCGAGGGCAAGTTATTTCAAAAGTTAACTCACCCCCAAGGAGCCCACAAAGACTCCCTGCCGGTTATTTTAATTTTCCCGCTGGTAGAATTTGTGGGAGACCCCGCCTCTTTTGTTCCGACTCTCAAAGTAAATGTCTAATACTCCCTCATTAAAAAGGAAGACCTCCTCCTCCGCCTCTTCGTTACCTTAATGCCCATAAACGAGTAAAGTTTAAACAATTCTCTTTGAAGATTACCTTACTTTACCTCGACCATTCACGGTTAAATCAATTTCCTGTCCGGCCGCAGGATTTCTTGTAAATAATCCTTATAAATGTAAATCCTTGTAAATAATTTCCGGAAGAGACCTGTCTAATATGATGACCTGATCTTTTTTCTAACCGGTTTTAATTATTCTAAATATTTGCGTCGTTTTATATTTAAAATCCAACAAGATTAACTTACAAACTTTGTAAAAACCTCTTGAATTATTCTGAAATAGAATTGATTTTATTGAGCTGACGCCAGGTTTACATGTTTTGGATGTTTATCGGGAAAATGAAAGAGAGGTGGTTAAGGGAGACAGTCAGGGTGTTGTGGAAGTGTCTAGTCACCTTCTTAGAAGTTTTAAGGGCAGATGGGATCTGAAAGTCTTCGCGGATAATGTCAAAAGAGCTATGTGTATGTAATGTATCTAGAGCGCTGAAGCAATACAGAATCAGCAGATTTATGAGACGTTACTGATTACAATACTTACTGGGGAAGCGTTCGTGAAGCACCCACCTCGGATGTTAGAAGTGCTGGATCAGAACTCAGTCTTATGCAACCAGTCAACGAGGTTGGGCTTTCTACCAACAGCTAGGACAATGCCCGCGAAGGTTTTGGATAAGTTAGGGTATTTATTAAAGTGAATGGAGTTGTGTACGTGACTTGGGTCGATGGCGACTATTTATAGAAGTCCCATCGACCCCAATTAATTAGTTTGTTATTGCATGCAGGTGGATAGAGGATTATTGAGTTCGCCACCTACTAAATAGAAACAAAACAATGTATATAAGTGTGAATGTATTTATTTGTGTGAATGCGTATTGAATGTGTTGTTATATTTCCCATGCAATCGGTGCTAAAATTATCAAGCTAAATATATTCTTTCTTATTTATTTATAATTCATTCAGTTGGAATTCGAATCCTCGATCAATATTTACACCTATTATTATAATTAACCTATTCAGTGTCGTCCCCATTTTTATCGTCAAACTGAAGGTTAATACCGGCCGTAGGATCTTAGCCGATCAAATCTTTACATTTATGTCACAACGTCCTTGCATTGAGCCTATTGTTAAGTGACGGTTATTCGAACAACCCCCACAACAAGGAGGAGAGTGCATCGGCCGGTAAACCGCCGAAGCGAGAGAGAGGATCTACTAGCGACCAGGAGGAAGCAAAGCCCAGATCTGGAAGCAACACCTGCGAAAAAACAAATAACTTCCTGCATTTTGAAAAAAAGACTGGCTCCAGACTTCGAGAAGAGGACATCTCTCATTCCACATCCACTCACATTGGCATGGTCTGTGGTATGGTGATAATGATACTAGGAAGCAGGGTTTCTACTCCCCAGGCACTGCAGCCTTCTGCCTTATTCTGCCTTCCTAATTCCTTAGTTCAGATGTAGATGTAATTTTTCAGGTATGGTATAATGCGCCCTTTAAGAGCTATTGTATCCCCGGTTCTCTGCCTACAGCACATCGGTGAGACCTATTTCATCAAGAAATTTGATTAATAGGCCCGGTTTCAGTGGTTGAAGCTCTTCTATGGTCACATGATACATCTCAAAACATTTCCTCTTGCGGGGTAATGTAGCTCCGCAGTTGTTATTAAATGTGTTGGTGTTTCTTCTGCCTCTTTGCAGGGTCTGCATGTGTCTTGTTAGGAATCCTCGGATTCGCAGTCTGTTCCTGCTTCCTTTGACATATTCTGTGATTTCTTTCTTACCAAAATTGGTTAGTAGATTCTTGGATTGTCTATGTCCAATGAGTGAGTTCCATTGTGCCTTCATTTTCTTTTCATCCTTCTGTCTGAGATATTCGTTAATAGAGTGGATTCCTATGCCACAGAAGGGTTCAAGTCCTATCAGCGGTGTGGTAGCCCCTTTCCTTGCAAGGGTGTCCGCTTTCTCGTTGCCTTCCACTTCCATGTGTCCTGGTACCCAGCAGAAGCTGACTTTATTCTGCATACCTAGTATGTTTAATTTGGTTTTGCAGTTCAGCACCATCTTTGAACTAATGATACTTGAGCTTGGCTATCTGACATGACAGCTATTTTCTTGTTTTTGTACCCTTTATTTAGATTGAATTGGGTACACCTTTCAATTGTATGAATCTCAGCTCAAGACAGCCACATTAACCCCGGCTGCCAGTGAATCACTCGGCACGGAACGCATGACCCTTTGATTGGGGCGGATGCTGTTTTCTGTCAAGCCCAAGACTCTTGTTAGGGGTGATAGGATGGAGGGAGATGGGTTGGTGGTAGGATTTTGTTTAGTGAGGAGTGGTTGGGAAAGCGAGTACCTCACTTAGGGATAGGACACCAGAGCCCCTTTAGCCTTTTCGCACAGTACCATGCCGTGTGTATCAATATGAATCCCCTCGTCAGGACGGTGACGAACGTTTCCCGGGGTTCACTACTTTGAAGCGGGGTTGTTCTTTGAACCCCAGTTCCTTAATTCAGTGCAATAGTCTCAATACTTCTCCTTAGAAGTATCAGGTCATTGACTATCGCTGTTACAATTTGATTCCCTAAGTTTTTTGTATGTTAGGATAAATCTCCATTGAGCTGTTGCTTCGCATTCAAAAATAATATGGGTGGCTGGTTCCTCTTCCTCATTACATAATGCGCAGATGGGATCATCGTTGTATATTTTGTGTAGATGTTTACTTAGATGCCAGTGACCGGTTAGTAGTCCTTTCACTCCTCTGAGTTTAGCCCTCTCCAGTTGCAGCAGTGATTTTGCCGGTCTTGGTGAGGGTTTTTTCATCATAAGTTTACTATGCCAAGCACCGCTAGAGTTTATCTACTTCTTCTTTTGTTTTGTTTGGATCCATTCTGCGATGAAGGATTCACTCGCACTGGCAAAACAGACATCTGTGAGGGGAAAGGGCGACCAAAACATAGACTCATACCCAGCCGATTTGTTATTTTAATTTTTTGAAGACCCTGCGGGGAGATTTTCTTTGTTTAATTTTTTTTTGTAAATAAATTTATTGTAAAGGTGAACATTTAGGTTCTAACGCTTTGTTAGAACATATTACCCCATCACTCGTTACATCTATTTGTAACTAACCAGATTGAAGATCGATGGATTCCGCCATAGCCTTCTCACTCTACATATTCACGCCAATAAATGCGTTACAAATCTATCGATTTTATATATAACAAAACAACTCTGTGTTCTCCAAGAATCGAAACTTGGGACCCAGATACTCAATGCTGTGCTTAACCACACTTTTCATAACGGGTGGGTGGTCTTTGTTCGTACTCTCTATATGGAGTCAGGGAATAACAATTAGGTGGGAGAACTCGAGCAACTTTTCTCTGCCAGATACATACGCGGACATTGACTAAAAGAACGTGCCCCTGCGTAAACTTCGCAAAGCCTATTCTTAATCGGGTGATGATGACCCCTCTTTTCCCAGTTAGATCCTTTGAAGATCACTTATCGACAGTGTATCGACATAGGAAACCTCTGCCCAACCGGACCACCGACGCTGCTTTTATTGTATTTTTACCGTCAAACATATGGCTAATTCCTGACGTAGAGCTTAGCCGATCGAGCCAATACATATATTAGAACATTCTTGCATCATTATTTTCATATCACAAATATTTAATTTTTTTAATATATAAATCTTATTTTTAGCATATTGTTAACTAGTGATATATTTTTCTTTGTTACAGAATTCGACAAGAGCTTAACGGAGGCGCGTGGTGTCCTAAAGCGCAGATCAGTAGCGAAGTTAGAGAGTATCTCGAAGTGGATTTGACGAAAAACCATTTGATAACAAAGACTGAAACGCAAGGGAGATTCGGAAACGGGCAGGGCCAGGAGTACGCCGAATCCTTTCTCGTCGAATATTGGAGGGAGTCTCTCAACCAATGGGTCGTTTACAAAAACACACGGGGCCAAAAGGTAATTAATTATAAATCATATTTTACAATTTTATGTTAAAACGGCTCCTGTTGAATATTGATAAAATGCCTCTCTCCGCTACGTTATAATTCAGTAGACTCCATTCAATTAATTCCCCGCCTTTGTTTCTCTCTCCCCAGTCTGCCTTCGTGTACATTCGCCCTCCACCTACACGGGCTCAGGTTTATTTGAAACTTTTTCATCTGAGGAATAAATATTACAGAGTCAATTTATTCTCCCGCCGCCCACCACTGTTACGCCCTGGAGAGAAGTGGCTCGGAGCGCTGAATAATTTAACCCTCCTGTCGATTGGTAAAATTTCAATCAGGGGAAAACAAATTAAAACGGAGCGACAATTAAGTCTGACGATATCAGCTCCGAAACGGCCCTCTTGATGGCTATGAGGTGGCAATCAACGATTTCCTTCCTTCTAAGCCTTAATATATCTTATAATCTAAGCAAGTATCTCTGGAAGTTTTGATAAAATCGCTTTTGTCATGCTTATATTAAATTTTCCTCTCTGACAATTGTATGTATCAACAAAGCAAAACATTATTGCAAAAGGGAATTTGGTACATGAACAATTTTACAAAACGGCCTATGCGTTTCATTCAATTATAAACTTTCTTTATTTCTCTACATCGTTTTAATTATTAATTATGATTCTTACGGGCATGTCGTACACAAAAGCTTATTTTTATACGTAATTACTAACTATAGTACAAATAGTATTACTACTGTCCCATTAGTCAGTTTAATACATATCATTATCAATATTTCGTTGCAAATTTTCAACGAAAATTAATTAGTAGTGATATAATTGTATGACTTTGATGTTTTGGTATATTGATTATTATTTGAAATAATATACGTGTTTCTACATTGACTTTCTCATCTCTCTTTGTTTTTCTCTTTTCCCTCTCTCTTTCCCACTCACTTTTTTCTCTTTCTCTACTTCTCATCTCCCCTGGTACTGTGTTTCTCTCTCTCTTTCTCTCTCTCACTATGTATATATATATATATATATAAGTTTGTTAAGCATGGTGTTTATTGAAGGGAATAATATAGATTGGACTTGAGAGTTCACATGTGTAGTTAGTGACCATTGGCGAAAATTGACCGTTGGTTTGACAAAACATACTTTATTATTATTAAGTGTCGTGTTTAGTGACCGTAGTTAATATTTATTCGGAGATCGTGGGATGCGGTCAGGAGTGTCGTAGGTTTTAGAAAAATATTTTCTTTATCGTGCCAACGTTTCGATCTTTATTGAGATCATGTTCAGGACCTGGGATATATAAACATTGTATTATTTCATTTTTTAATCTAAAATTTTCTAGCATTGTATAAATTCATTTTTTTAATCTAAAATTTTCTAACGTATAAATTCATTTTTTAATCTAAAATTTTCTAGCATTGTAAAAATTCATTTTTTTAATCTAAAATTTAATTTAATCTCCCTCTAACTATCTTCAATGCTGCTTCTCATCCCTCTTTTTCCCTGTACATACATCCTCTCCCTTCAAACAGAGTCTTTTTAACCACAGTTTAAATTTACTCAGTAATTATTATTTTTCTATGGTAATAAGAAGATCGTGAGATGCGGTTCTTTTTCTTTTTCACCTCCTACATGAAGATGATCTCAATAAAGATCGAAACGTTGCCACGAAAAAGAAAATGTTTTTCTAAAACCTACGTCACACCAAACCACATCTCATGATCTCCAAATAATAATAATAATTATTAGTTTTTAATTGTTGGGTAAAGTAAAATTTGTTCATCCAAGGGGTCGGATGAATCCAAATCCCACTACAGTCCCTTAGGAGAAAATCTCCAATACCTATTGTACCAATATTTATACCTATTGTTAAATCTAAATCGTGCGTATGTTAGTCTAAACGGGATAAAAAGACCTGCGATCATGTTAAAAACATGAGGATACGACGGATGTGTAGAAAAGCTGAGTGTGTTTGACTTTGACAGGTGCTTGCTGATGGTTTGAAGAATGAATGCATTAAGAAAAATGTGCCTCTCCCACTCGTGTTTGACTTTTCACTAATTTTCTTTTTTCCCCTTTTCGAATAGAATGAGCATTCGCTGTAATTAAATTTTAAATATTATCCCAAAGAATCTGATGATATGGCCTAAAGAAAGACTTATAGATAGTCAAAATTCAGTGCGTAGCTGAATGTTTGTTCTAGCTGTAATTCTAATCGCAGAATACATGGCCTAATAAATGTTTAACATCTCACAAATGTATCCGGAATAGACTGTCAAGATAAATTTTTATGATTTGTTTGTGTCGATATCTAGGAAGATCAGAATCCGTACGATAATGAAACGTATATAGTAGTGAAAGTTAAAAAAAAACAATACAGATATTTGAGAGATTTGACAATATGCCAAGACTGCTTGAGTGAAAAGCTCGAGTACATTATTTGGACGATTTTGTACTATATACTTATTGTGGTAACTGGTAAATTAGACAATGGTGCAGGTACCACTTTTCTAAGTTGTTGATTTTCGTATTGAAGTGGTCAGATACTAAGTTCTTCCTGCTTATAACTTTAAGCATTGTATGCACTCTTCTGGTCAATATTAAATGTTAATTAGTGATGATGTTAAATAAAAATGAGATTTTTATGTCTCCAAACAAAATAAATATAGTCATCCCATAGAGGAAAATATGTAAAAAAGATGAAAAAATTGACAAGCGTTTTGAAGAGCAAATTTCAAGTAATATTTTGTTGATATTTGTCATTTAAATTTAGCGCTTGTTTGGAAATAATCATTAAATATTCAGACTATACGTGGTTTTCACAGTTTATCCGTTCTTTTTGTCGTTTCTAACGTTTTCTTCATTGTCTCGAAGTTATTTTTGGCAAGAGTTTATTACACGGCGTGTGAGTATCTGAGAGAAGCAGCCGCCAGACCATTAGGCTAAGAGCAGGTAGCAGCATCATTCTTACTTAGCCCCCGGGTCCCTGTAATGCGACCACTATCCTTCTGCTAATTGTCTCCCCGTCGTACTAACAAAGAGTTATAGCTACATTTCCCTATGTGCACACTGGGGAGCCGCAGGATCCAATGTGCTCACTATTCGTCTGATGACTAACGGACGGATGTGGGTCTGTGTGGTGACACTGTTTTGCATTAAAGGCTTTATCTGGCAATTCGGTAGACACAATTTTTCAAGGGGTTAATGAAATATTTAATTATTTCGAAAGAAACATTTTTTAGATTGATCTTGAATTATAAATGAAAAGTGGCTTTTTGTTGCACAAGGTTCGTTCATACGCGCATTTACTATTTATTTTGCCATTTTTCAAAATATTTTGAAAAAGGTTGAATTTATTTGAAAACTAATTAATTTTTATAATCTTTCTTTAAGAGCGCAAACGACCAACACTTCCCCAACACTCATGCGTTGTGCAGGTTTGAAACTGAATTTGTTTTTCATCCACTTGACCAAACCGTGATCCAGATTATTCATTAATCTATATAAGCAATTTTACAATTTCAAACACTAACCCATCTCAGAACTCTTTAAAAATATATTTTCAAATATTTTATAAATTTTGTTAATTTACTTTGTACATAACTTTTAGTATTTGTCTCGACCCTTGGGAATATGATTCGGCGAAGCTTTTGCCAGGGGACGATAGTCAAGCTGACCAACACGTAAGAGAGGGAGAAATGGAGAGGAATGACTTCGTAAATTTGAGAAGGATTTATATTAAAACCAAAGAACACAATTTTTTTTTTGGTAATTATTATTATTATTATTATTAATTTTTAAGGGCGTTTTAACGGCTAAGGTTATTATTATTATTATTATTAATTTTTAAGGGCGTTTTAACGGCTAAGGTCATTTCACGCCCTAACATCCANGTTTTAATATAAATCCTTCTCAAATTTACGAAGTCATTCCTCTCCATTTCTCCCTCTCTTACTCCCTCCCACCCTCTCTTTCTCTCTCACTCTCTCACTCTCTCTCTCTCTCACTCTCTCTCTCTTTCTCTCTCTCTCTCTCTCTCTCTCTCTCTCTCTCTCTCTCTCTCTCTCTCTCTCTCTCTCAACGTAATAATAAACTTTGAATCATTTTGCTTAATTAGGTTTCTTAAAAGAATAGAAAAAAAGCATTCGATATTTGTTTTTTCACCTGTTGTTGGTTAAATCACTATGCTGATATACGTCCAATAAAATTCATGCCCATAGGAAAACTATGTCTCCAATATTTTTATTTAAACTTTTTATTTATTTTTTATAACTGCATTCTTCGACGCAACTAGTAAAACAGATAGTATTTACATATAAAATTATTAACGGTAGCGTGAAAGCTTGAACAATTTCCATCCAGTGATGGTAGCCGTTAGTTAATCAATACGATTAGCGAGATGTACTCCATCGTAGGAGACCGATGTCAATCGTTAAGGTTGTCGCGGGGCCACCGACGCTTCAGTCTTCTGTTGGGATTATTAGGTAATGTGGTGGATGACAGGTTTTTGCCGAAAGGGTTCGGATGATGGAGTAGTTTGGAATGGAACGTTTTGTAGCGGGATTGGGCCAGCTCGGTAACAAAAGGGACATTTAGGTCGGTATGGATGGTGTGATTGGATACATAGAAAGGGGCTTGTACTATTGTTCTGAGATTGAAGGGATTGGATTCGATTGAGGTTGGAACGCTTAGCAGTACCGTAAAGTTCAAGTCCGTATGTCCAAGTGGGGGCCAGGAGAGCAATGTAAAGTTTTCTTTTGTTTGTTAGTGAGAGTTTTGTTCTTCTGTCGAGTAGTCGTTTAAGCTTGAAAAATCGTATATAACAGTCTGTGCGCTTAAGTCGTGTATGGGGGTTCCACGTCAGTCGTTTGTCCAGGTAGAGTCCGAGGTATCGTACATGGTTCGCAATTGGGATGGGGACGTTGTTGAGGTTTACTGGTGGGAGTGTTTTCTTGTTTAGAGTAAATATTATGTTCGTTGATTTGGTTTTGTTGATCTTGAT